ACTCATAATAGCTGTTCTTCAGCAAAGACTAATTGAACTGAGAATATTGATATACTTTCTCATTTCAAAATTTTAGTAAAAATCCAAAGGTTGTTTGCCACTCTATGACAGCTTTAAAGATTCCTCAAAATTTTCGTCACTCTATTATTTTCACTATGAAAGCAAAAGTCATCTCAATAAAGTTATGCAGAAAAATTATAAATTTTGTAATGCAAGCTATAAGTTTTCTTAAAGTAATATTTATAATTTCAAAATACTGTTTGAAGCATCACCTTTATTTTCTAGCTGTACTTCAAATAATTATTTAAACATACTCAAATACTAATAGAGCCAATTTATATGCAAAAGCTACCCTGGTCTCTCCTCACAGAACAAATGGGACTTGATTATAGAATGTTGTAAATATTCCTAATATTTATCCAAAAGACTGCCCCAAACGAAAACCACCACCATCTCCCTGCCCTCTCCCTCTCCCCCCAAAAGGCTTCCTATGATTGACTTTGGTTTCCTTTTGATGAAATTGCCTGGTTAAGAACATTTGATAAATTTAAAAACAATTTTTAAGGCTTTCTCATGAAATTTTTTGAAATGTGCAAGGAGAGAAGACAAAAAGGAGAAAATTTCGGGCATAAGGACTTAAACTCTCATTTCCCAGGCGCTGGCTTCTACTGCACTAGGCCTGAAGCCCCATTTAGGTGCTATAGCTGCCAACCTATATCAGGGCTCTAAGTTCCTGGCTCTTTACACTTCAGGGATCTTTCCTCCTGCTGGTGCTCATGTATTTCATCAGCATTAATGGGGGTTTTGAATAGGAATCACTGGTGAGAACTCCCCTGAGGGTATAAAAAGTTTGGTCGTTGCTGAAAATCCCACATGGAGATGAGCGCAGTCAGAAACTGACAAAGGAAGTGTTGGAAAGCGGTTCACAGCCAGATGTGAGAGGCAAGAGAAACCAACCTCGGGGGTAAGGGAAAATCCCCATTTTCTCATCACACAGAAGAGTCATATTTAATATTAACTGCTTAGGTTTATGGAAATAGGCATTCTGGCAATATCTGCATATATAAACAAATTTCAGAAAATTATTTCAGTGTATAATGGAGTATTATATTTCATCCACTGGGTATTCATTTTAAACAGTAAGTGTCAGGTGAGCGATCACATGTGAAAGGAATACACAGAAAGGTATTTTTTTCCCCTGTTAGAGTAGTCCTGAATATTCAAAGGACAAACTCAAATATCAAACAGGAATCAGAATAATAAAAAGGGTGAGCCCTTTTTTCCCCTTTGCGCTCTGTGGCCATAGTCTGATTTCTATAGCAGTGGTTCTCAACCTTGGCTGCACATTAGAATCACCTGGGAATCTTTTTAAAATCCTGATTTCTGGCCCTCACCCTCCGGAAATTCTGTTTCTTTGTTATGGGGTGGGGCCACCACATTAGTAACAAAGAAACAGAATTTCCGGAGGGATGAGGGCCCAGAAATCAGGATTTTAAAAAGATTCCCAGGTGATTCTAATGTGCAGCCAAGGTTGAGAACCACTGTTCTATAGGGAATTTAGTTCAACTCAATATTTACCATGTGCCTATCTGAGTAAGGGCCACATAAAGATAACAAGACAAGGCACTAACTACTATCAAGGGGAAAAGAGAAACGTGTGCAATAAAGTTAGTTGTGATCCAGTTAAACCATAATGAAGGGTAGAGGAGAACACAAGTAAGCTGCAATGAGAGCACAAGGGTCTCTCCTCTCACCATTGACATTGACCGATGAATACAGGCTATCCCTGTCCACTTCATAGGGCAGACAGGTGCTCAGACATAATTCAACTGTCTTGGATTTCCAAAAGTATGCAATGAGTAGAATACATGGATTAATACAGTTTCAGAATATAAGTATAGGCTAAACTGGCAACGTAAATTAAATCCCCAAGTCTTTGAAAATCAACTACAAATATGACACACATTTGTGTCCTGAGAAGAGAAACAATCTAATTTTCTTTTCTTTGTTTTGCATTTCTCTTTCCCAAGCTCTGTTGTTCTTCCTCCTCCTCCTCCTTTTTCTAGTTCTGCCATTCAACTGAGGTGGGTAGGGTTATTGATGAACATAATGTTGTCCTGTTTTTCTTGTAGCCAGTAAAGGGGGATGCAGCTGTGAGATGCATGGTATGGGTTTAGCGCATTTATACCGGGGTTCTAACTCCAGTTCTGCTTATTGGGCGACTTTGGGAAAGTCTGTTTAACCTCTAGGCTGCAATTTCTTCATCTATGAAATGTTAATAATATTATTTACCTCATACTGTTGTGAGAATCAAACAAAATAATAACTTATTGTGCTAGATCTCAGTAAATTATAACAGTTACCATTATGATTATGCGTTTCGGTGGACATAGATGATGTTTTAAAGATAATTTTTAAAAAATGCTTCATAGCATGTTCAACTTTGTGCTCAATATTGAGTTTGGTCGGTAATGGGTGATACTGGTGGCTCCCTCCAGTGTTGGCCATGGATGAACTGGGGACAGTGAATGGGAAAAAAAATAAAAAGTCTGAATAGTAACTATCAATGTGAAATAATATAACTATCAATGAGAAAAATCTCTATGAATTGACTATCTAGTCTATGTAGGAAAGTGGCAATTTTATGCGCGTGGATTTGTGTCATTTCTCCCCATCTGGATAAAGATCTTCGACAAAATTAGTTGGTGACTAGTATTCTTAATTCACCTATAATTTATACCTTCAAATAGCCTCTCAATTCACTTGAAAAACTATGGTATCATTTGGTCTCCAACTTCATCTTGAAGAACACCCACAATTCCATGACCTCTGCCCCTACTGGTGCTATCTTACTTTGCAATCACTGATTATGCTTTTTACTAGATTGAAAAGTGAAATGAAAATGATGATGGTAGCAAGAAAATAATTTAACATAATAGCCCTGGGTTGGATGACACTGCCTTACCAGGCCCTACACTTGGACATATGTACATTAATCCGGGCAGTTGAGATATTTTCTCATTGGTTTTTCTTTTTCAAAATTGCGGTCCAAATTATTATTTTTGTCACTAAACATCATATTATTGAGAATTCACTGGATGCAGAGTAAGAAAACATACAAATGGATTTCACACAAAATGTGGATAGTACAGAAGACACAAGACTACAGAAGGAAGTTTCTGAAAGGTACAGGGATAAAATATAAAATTCTTTACTGATTTGAAATACACTTTGTTTCCCGGGCAGTAATAAATAACTATGTTTTGCAGCTCATTTGGGAGACAAAAGTCTATAATTCCAGGCTCAGGAAATTATATGAGTGCCAGTCAATTGCCATATTTGGACTATCTCATGTTATTATAAAACTTGGGGGATTTTAAGAGAACAATAAGAAAGTGCGTTGCCTTTCTCGAGTTTCTGAGACAACACCTGCTGCCCACCACTGGGTCCCTATTTGCTATAATTGCTGAGATATAAGATTTTTGCCTTTAAGCCTTCATGCAAATTCAAGCACACAAAAGAGCAGTCGGACTGCCTGGTACAGCAGATTCAGTAGAGGGAGGGGGTCTCTTGAGCCGTATGTAATCCTTTTTTAAAAGAATAGACAAACTTTTGGAAGTAATTAACTTGTGTCAGTACACAGGAAAAAAGATACATATTTTGCTGTGTGTGGAGGAGAATGGCAGCTAATAGCACCCAGAACCAAATATAATTTCTCCTAAATAGAGGAGAAAAAGAATCCATCAACTTGATAAATGTTTTTCTAGTTCCTTTTCCAAAAAAGCCAGGGCACCTTCACCTTTACATACATGCATGTGTGTGTGTGTGTGTGTGTGTGTGTATGCATGTATACACACACATACATAGTGTGTATGTGTGCAGGTGTGTATACAGATACACATACACATAATCCATAATCTTTGAGGACTTGGTAGCTGGGATGGAGACAGGGTCCTTGTTGAAAGTTTTTAAAATTGTTAATTACTTTTTAGGCCACATTGGATGTGATACTTATACCAGGCAAATCCCTAAGGATACATCAGAGCACACACACAATTCTGGGCATAGGCTGAAGGACAGACTTAACAAGTAACAGCCAGTGAGGTCTTTCCTCACTGAAGGAAAAAGCACCGAGCTGGTTTTATAACATGTGTGATTAGGCTTTGTTACAGCTACACATAAGACTGAATCTCTTTTTATTAGGAAGATCCCAGGTATTAGCAATGCAGGCAGCTGTCTCAAAGCCAGGGCAGATACCTCTGGCATCAAATGCCTAAATCTAATTTCTCAGTAAACCCTACATCCCCACCCTGCTTAAAACCCTTTCCATTACTGCTACATGAGATATCATGCCATTTGATTCATGTTCTAACTTTATAACCTAACTCAATTACAAAAAAAAACAACCCCAAAACACCTGGGAAAAACTGAATAGTGTAACAATAAAAGAACGAATTTTTCCCTTTAATGCAACTCTATAATAGACAGTCCTAAAACTCATGTCATATAGCATTTGTATTTTATAATTCATGTGCATAAATGCATAGAGCTGCCATTTTAAAAAATATATCAGGAGTTTATTGTTTTTTGTGTTTTGTTTTTTTTTAATTTAAGGCCTTTCAGTTTAGCCACGTTGAAACAATAATATGTACGCATGGTTTTGTTACTGTGATGAAAACAAGCCCTCGCTTAAAATAATATAGTACTTAGTTGGGACCAGGAGCAATGAGATACTTGCTTTTTAGTAATTGGCAAATAGTTTGCTTTCGTCTAGTTTAACTAAAAATTAGAAAGAGAAAAATGTTGTTCATATAAAGTGTATGCATAAAATTATATATTGGTTAAGAAGCAAAATTAAAAAGAAAACAGCTTATAGTATTCCTGATTAATCAGTGTTCCTAAATATAAAAACAAACGAAAAGGCCTTGCGAGTTAAGAAAAACAGCACACCGTACAGCTTTCACACACTTCAGAGGAAAAAGAGAGCTTGTGACACTGTTCTGAGGAATCTTTCATTTATAAAAACCGAAGGCCTAACTTTGCAAATACAACTTTCGAGCTGTCTGAGCAAAGTTAACTTACACGAAAGGCACAGGATGACATCACGTTGGAGAACGTATCTGTAAGTTTCATAAAATCTAGTCACAAGTCACTAGAAACTTCATAAGGAATCCCAGAACCTTTTTGAACACGATGTTCTGGTTCAAACCGAGAAGTGGAGAGTCTTTATGTCAGAAATACAAATTGAAGTGAGAGAGCAGAAGATTTAGAGAGAGAACAGTTTCTTATGCCAATGCTACCTGCTTTATGCAGTGCTCGCTACTACACGCTCAGAGCGGATCATTAAAATGTTCTTGAACTTAAGATGTTTTCCATTTTCAGCAGCTCATACTATATTTTTTTTAGTTTGTAAAAAATGTATATGCACATTACTCCAATTTTAGAGTCAGTCGTTGAAAGGAATTCTAAAGTAAGGTCCTGTTCTGTTAGCTTCCTACATTGGAATACGAGAATACAGGAAGTGCTTTCAACAGAAAGTTACAGAGTTCTACAGTACAACCTGTCTAAGGACTTGCAAGGGACCAGTACAGTGACTGGGTCTCTTTGGATGGGGCAAAAAGCAGAGGCAAATGAAGAAATGAGTTTTTAAAATAACATTACAAATGCCTTTATGACAATGAAATCTTGCTTGCACTCAGATTTAGTGCTACCGAGAACCGAGGTACAATGAAGCTAAGTGCACAAAGGGAAAATATCTGAAAGAAAACAATTTCCAATGTGACTGAAACCCTTCAACACCATATATGACTTACAACAGAGTTGGAGAACTACTTTCTTTTATCAAAGTACATTTCAAAACACCAGGGACAAGCCAGTCAAAATATGCTTTATGGATAATATGTAGGGTGATACTAAAATCGTGTTGCAACTAAAAATTCTAAAAAATCATTGAAAATTTTGATTTTTCCGGAAATGACTGGCTCTTTTGTTAAAGTAAAATGAACTTCAACCCAAAAGCATATTCTTAAAGCTCTGGAGGATCGGTAGCTTAACAATGATGATAGGGTTTTTCATCGTCCCAAACTCTACCAGAGATACAACCTGCCTTCATTTCTGTCAGTATTAGATGGTCTTTCCACAGAATTTAAAACATTTTGGTAGAATGTTGAAGGTGATTCTTCAAAGAATGAGTCTTCTAACGATGACCAGGTCAAAATAGCGGCGTTGTCACTGACAGCAATGCTGCCTGGGGCTGCCGATGCTTGTTCTCCTCATCATGACTCCAGTAACGCGTGCCATCTGCACACTTGCTGTCCTTTCGACTCTTTCATTTCGGTCCAGTGATTGAGTTCCTCCTCTCCAGAGCTGTTCAGACCTAGAGAAATCCAGCCTATCATCTCTTTTCTTTTCATGCTGCGCTTGTTGTACACAGACAGGATAAGGGTCACGTCAGAGAGCTGAAACAGGGCCACTTGAAAAACAAAAGTTTCCTTGTACACTGGATTTGGCTGCCCTCTGCGGACGGATGTCTTGCATTTAGACATTTCTTGACCCATGGAATTCAGTAGAGTTAATTTAACATATGTATCTATAGGGGAAAAAAACACAGAACAACATACCACAAATATCATTTGAAACAAACGCAAAAACAACTTTCTTGTAACATTTGCTGAGAAAATTCTTTGTGCTTTGTAAGGATATGGTGTATACCATGTTTAATGGAAATTCAACTAATTCCATTTTGATGTAGATGCTTATACTATGTGACAGGTACAGAGAATGCTAAGGAGGCAGAAAATCTTTGGGGGATACTAATATCTTAACCTCACTATTTCTACATTATAGTCAGAATTTAAAGGTATACCTCATAATCCTTCCTCCACCCTCCCAGCCATTCCTTGACCTCCCACCACCGCCCCCGCCCCATCCCATCCCCATTTAGCTTCACTAAGCAGGACATCATAGCATTAATAAACACTTAGCAAGCTCAATTAGCCACAACACTGTAAAGCATTCCACTGTGTTTTCAGAGAATAAGAATAAACAAACAAATAGAAATGAAGGCAAATGATAAAGAGGAAAAGAGGAAGACAAGAATGCAAAGATGACATCAAAACAGCTTAGGATGAAATGTGAAAAAAATCTCTGCATGGATGTGGTTTTTAATTATATCTTAAAACAATTTAAGAGCCAAAATGAAGCTAAATGCATTAAGGGCTCAAAGTTCAAGTCAAGTAAAACTTTCTCCTGGTTTCATGCAAGAGTACATTTAATGTGCTTTCTGGACAGTCAAAATAGATACTACAGGGTTCCTTTTTTTTGACACAATTCAATGTCCAATTGTAAGTGTGGCATCCGAACTATGTTCATGAATTAGAAAAAAAACAACAACGGATGTGATGTTTAGTGTACAGAGTAAAACGTAACAGTCCATTGCCTGATTATTTGGGAGATAAACCCTCTCGTCAAACAACTGTGTTTTCAAGGTCGTTTGATTCATGCAGATGACCTTCAGCATGTTGATCCATCATGTGTACTTCTTGTCAAAATTTCAATTAATCTTAATGAAAATCGCAGTATTTCTGATGAAGTAACTATTTCTGTTGTATGAGTCAAAATACAATGAATGAAAAAAGCCTTTAATTTAAAAAGTTTTGCTTACTTTATACTCTGAATACCATCATCCATAATCAGAGATAAATTCTAAGTTAGTTTTACTTAAAGTACCACAGATAATAAATGTGCATTTTTTGAAACCAACATGGTGGACAGCTTCACTGCTGGCAAGTTTTAGGGTATTTTTTTTTTTGTTTTGCATGAAAAGACAACATCCAATTAGCCTCTACAGGAACTCACCTCGGATTATATAAACCTGTCCACCTATCAAGTGTTTTAGACAACAGAACAGTCCATCTGACAACAGGGGGTGGAAAGCAGTAAAAGAAATAATGACCAGATGTCAATTGTTGGGTGAAAGAGGGTCAAAGGTTAGAATTAAAGAGGAAACACTGTTCACTGGAGTGGAAGAACACAAAAATTTAGCATTTTAATTCAGGCAGAGGGTTGAACAAAAGGGTCCTTGGGCAAAACTCATGAAATGAGCATTTTTAAGGTCATTTTGTAATCTGAAACAAAAATTACACTGTTTTAAAGGGGGACATCTTTATAATGATATCCTCTTGGTCTAAAGCACATTGAACATAGAAGCATGCAAATTATCAGACTATAAAAGACTGAATAAAGGTCATTATAGGATCACTGTTATTATTATCCAAAATTTTTAAGTTTATCCATGCAATATTTAATATTTCAAATTCTTTTATTACTACTCTCAATGTAACATAAAATTAAGTAATGAAAAATAAAGTAGAATTACCAAAATTTTTTCCCTTGAATACTACTATTGTTTTCTTTGGTTGAAAATTAGATTATTCAGTTTATAACACAGTTCAAAGCTTCGTACCTAGGTATAGGTGAAGGGTCACAATCTTATATAATATATACAGAATAAGATGAACTGACATAATTGTCTTATATTTTACTTTGTTATCTTACATTTTACCCTGTGTAACTAATTTTAATGTTGACTTATATTTAATTCAGCTAAACATCCTGATACTGAAGATCTAACTCTAAAATAATGAAAAGTGCTTTAACTTACTCTTTGGAACCGGAAAGATCTACCTTATTTTTGTGGATGATAATCTCTTAACCTCTTCTACTCTGCTCCTTTCATTTTGAGTCTGATTAGTGATTTTCTGTTTCTATCAAAGTGGGTAGAACAAGGACAGAGAGGCAAACATCACTTCATTCTGCTACTTTTTAGTATCTCAAGTTAAATATTTGTCAAAAAATTAAACTATTAGCTAAAGCAAAAATGAAGGGCAAACTGATAACTTGTGGCTAAAGGGAACCCCAAAAGTATCTTATCTGCTGCGGTGCTGACAAAAATTTCCAATCTGAATGTCTAAATGCAGGGTGTACACTCTCCCATTTGTCACAGGCCTCACCATGCTCCTTAGCTTTCATCCACAACTTTTGCTCATTTAAGTTACTTCCCAGGCCATTAGAGTTTGCATTCTAAGTGTGTATTAATGAAGATAACCAAGTAGCTGTTTATTCTAATAACTGTTTCTTTACACCCTCTAAAAATTTTCGTTCTGAAAAGAGAAAGAGGACAATAATAAATCCATCCTTCTTTTATGCACCTTTGTCTGTTTGAGTCTCACATTTACCCTGTGGGAGACACAGCTTTAATTTTATGTATAAGGAAACAGACTTAAGGGGAGTTAGGGCACTTGTCCAAGGGTAGAAATATGAACATAACTTAGGCCTTCTGACTTTTAATTCAGGGATAGATACATTTCATGATGTATGTAAGAAGCAAGGTTTCCAAGACTACTTAGAGCAAACCAGATATGTATTTATGACTTTTCAGCTTGATTGAAAAAAATGTTAATTCAAGGGTGGAAAAAGTTTCTTCTCCTTCAAGAATTATTTGATAATTGGAGTAAAAGATTGCTTTAAGCAAGTTTGAAAGAAATATTTAAACAAATTTAAAGTGACCATTGTTATTCAAAATTTCCAAATTTTTAGTTTGGGGCATTAACAGCTTTAATTTAGAGAAATATAAAAAAGCTGCCATTTCCCAGTTTGCGTCCATAGAGTTCAACAAATAGTTTTGGGCATACACTGAGTGACAATTTCTCTGTTCTCCCATAACTTACCTGGAGCTGGGAGAGAGATTAGGAGTTGGAAGAGTGAGAGGCATAGAGACAGGGCAGAGGTATACTATCTAGTTTCCCTTCCTAGCATTTGGGATAAATACAAAAATATTCCTTATTCTGTTGGTCCTGGTAAAGCCAAAGCACATTCCATTTAAGAAAAGACTCTGGTGACAGTACTGAATTATAATTTTAAAGAAGAAATATGTGGAAAAAAAACACAGTTTCTTCTTAAATTGTTAAGGGAGAAAAGTGTATAGTTCTGCATGCAGACAGATAACACAGCATCAATCTTCAGGTAACAGCAATAACTACCCATATTCCTGATTATCTTGGTGGAATATTAGTAACTTAAAAAGACCCTATAACTTTTTTGGCATTAGAAAATAATGGCTATAATAGGGAGAATTTATTCCACTGACATTAGAAAAATTAAGTCTCGACACCTTCCAATTCATATTTTGAATTTCAAATTTTTCTACTTCCCAAATGACTGGAAATAGAAATCATGAGACAGATTAGCTGATGATTATTACACCATTTCATTTTGATCAGTTAAGACTAAATGGTAGGACGAAAGCTCCTAACACTGAGATTCCCATAAGTGCAGAAAACATTAGAATTTAAAAAAACAAACATTTTCCACTCACTGGGTGGTCTGTTTGCTGCCAAGTTTTTGAAGTGGCTGCCTTTGATGACTTCTGCTGATAGTCTGCCAGTGGTGGCGTTATAAAGCAGGCCAATGAGAATTTCTGGAACTGAGCCATGCTCCAGAGACTGACAGGAGGATGTACTTCTACTACAGGACACTTCTGACATGCTCATTTGCGAGTCACAGCCCTGTAACCAAAAGTGAAATCTTTATAGTACTTTGTAAAAAAAAAAGATAGATTGTTAATGCCATGTTTAGTGGAATTAGGCAAGTAATCACAATAAAGATGAAATGCAAGCAAAATTCCCAAATACTAAATTAGAAATGTTGTTCTGAACATATTTTAGTTTCTGCATCTCTTTTCATTAGATAGCCGTCAAAGAAATGATAGATGAGGTTTTATAAATCCATGCATATTTATATACAAATCAGAGAAGCTAAATTTCTTACTCATAGATGTTAATAAACTGTCTATTTTCTGAATGTAAAAAATTGTTTTTTTAAAGACTTATTGACCTTAAAAGACTGACACAGATTTAGACTCAATTACATTAAATGTAAATGTTTTAACAATGTCTTTAAAGACAAAGATTGGCACGGTTTCATTAAATAAATAAGTTAAAACAATCTATTTATAAATCATCATGTAAAACACAGAAATACAGAATGTTGAAAAAAAAAAGGATGGAAAAATTAACTATGCAAATAATAACCAAAAGAAAATTGGCATAGCTACATTAGTCAAGGTTAGCTTTAAGGCAATAACCATTACTTAGAGATGAAGAGATACACTCAATAATGATATAGCTTTCAATTTACAAGGAAGATAAAATAATTTCAAATTTACATGCATTAACAGCATAGGGTCAAAACACATAAAGCAAAAACTGCCAGAACTAGAGAAACAAATTCACAACCTGTAGAGACTTCAGTATGTACACTTGTTTCAGTAACTGACAGCACGCAGAGAAATAAACATAGTAAAAGAAAGTAGAAGATTTGAATATCACAATAAGAAAATTGACCTAATGGTAATACATAGAACACCTTACCTTACAGAATATACATTTTCTCAAGCTCACAGTGGAATTTTTATAAATATTTACAAAAATAAAAGCAAATTAACAGTGAATTTCAAATAATGGGACTCTTCAGAATGTTTTTTAATCTAGAAATCTAAGCTATCTTCTTGTAAAGAAAAAATTCCTATATCACTGGAAATTAAGGAAACACTTTTAAATAACCCATAGGTAACAAAATAATAATGAAAATAAGTTACTTGAAAACATTAATAAAAATAAACATTGGAGAGTTTAATTAAGAAAAAAAGAAGGCCCATATGCCAAACATCAGTAATAAGAAAGGAGACATCACTACATAGCCTATAGATCATAAAAAGGCAAAAGGATAGTATGAAGAGCTCTCTTCCAATAAATTGGAAATTTTGATGAAATAGACATATTCATAGAAAACTATACCCAAAATGGACACAAGAAGAAACAGAGTATCTAAACAGTGTTATTGAAGAAGTTGAATTTGCAATTAAAAACTCTTCAAAAAACCCCACAAAAAAAAAAACAAAACTAAAAACTAGCTAGATGGCTTCACCAGTAAATTTTAATAATGTTAGTCTTACTCACATTCTTCCAGACAGTAGTAGGAAAGAAGAAACACCCCCTAGCTTCCTTTAAAAATCTAGCAAAACCATCGAACAGAAATCAGACAAGGACATTATAAAAAAGTTACAGAATTTTCTCATTCATGAGCATAGATTCAAAACCCTAACTAAACAAAATCAAATCTAACAACTTATAACATCATAGTTAATAGAAAAAATTTTTAACATTTCCCCTTTGAAATTGGGGATGTTGACAATGATGTCAGCTATTACCACTTCTAGTAACACTGTAGTGGAGATCCCGGTCAGTGGAGGTCTAGCCTCACTAGAAACAATAAAATGAAATGAAAGGTATGAAGATTTGGAACAGGAGTTTAAACAGTCCTATGGGAAGATTATGTAATTATGCACACACTAAATCTAAAGTCCACAGATGAGTTACAGCTGCACACAAAGGTAAAAATTTAAACCTATACATTGCTGAATGCCAGCAACACTCCATGAGTTAAATCAAAAGACTATAAGATGTTTTTTTTAATAACAGATTTTTAGATTTAACAAACTTTAGATTAAAAAAATCTGAAAATGCCTTAAATGAATCTTCAGGTTTGAATCCACTGCTGGCTATGTAAGTGAAGAAGAATTAATACATACTGGGACTGAATGAACTCATTAGACTAATATTCAAAGGGATAAAAATCTCGTATTTTCAAATGTAACTCTAAACCAGCGGAGAAAGCCAAAAGGAAGATACAGCTTATACTTGTAAATCATGGGTATACAAAGCACATAATTTGGTATGTTTTCATGACAGTTGGAGGAGAAAACAATTTTAGTAAGTTTCAATTAGGCTACATCATCACTTATGAAAACAGTGTCAAAAACACGCTCGTGCACATTTGGCGCACTTGCTACATTGGGCTATTATACTAGCAGCATCTGTTAGATGCTGTGAAATACATTCTTCATAATATAGTATTTTGCACATTAACCTACTGTCAGATAATAAGATGTGAATCTAATATCTTCTTATCAACACAGACGTCACGGTGCCAATTTTGAGCAACTAAGCGAGATCCCAGGAAATCCTGGGAACGGCCTTTCTGGTCTTCAAGTCCAAGAAAGAGCAAGAGTGATAGGATCCTTGGTGATCGCATTCTATTTTAGTGAGCCCTGCTGAAGTATAACAGTGTTTAACAGAAGAAACTGTGGTCTGGATTTACACCTTAGGAGGAGTGCTAATCGCGTGGCCTTCCCGAGGAGATCCGCGAGCACCACCAAGCAGTGCAGAGTAGCTACATAAATAGAGTAGCTGCAGTGAAGACAAATTAAATGCAGACACGATATACTCCAGGGGCACCTCTCCAATGACTGTTCCTCAGGGCGGGAGTCTCCATCTAGTCTCTCTGCAGACCCCAGCACTAATTTACCACTGGGGCTCGCCTCGGTGGCGGCAACTGCAGGTGATTAACCCAAAGTCACACAAATCCCAGCCATAATTAGGTCTATTTCAAGGAACAGTCCCCCCGGCTCCCCAAAGTAAAACTTCCTTCCATCTCACAGAGTATTTTTTGTTTAATACTTCCTCTTCTTCCCCCTGAGTCCTCTGCCCTAGGGTGAAGGAGTATTGTGTGAAAGTGGAAAAAAAACTAGTTTTTCAGAGAAAGGAATAAGCTCTATGGAATGTTTACCATAAGGAGAATTATTATGGTGCCAATCGGTTAAAATGAGGTGGGAACTTATAACCATAGAGAGAAAAACAGAAGATTAAAAAGACAGCAGCACTTTTATTAAGTAAATGCCTGGACTTTTATTAATACTAAACTGATTCCATCTTAGACTCGATATTTTTAAGGGAAAACTGAACTGTACAATGATAATTACCATACATGTGAATAGTTTCTGTTGACTTTATTTTCACTGTGGCTGGAAGATGTTTTTATTGTTTAATTTATGCATGAGATGCTTCCGTTAGACCAGTGATGGCGAACCTTTTGAGCTCGGCGTGTCGGCATTTTGAAAAACCCTAACTTAACGCTGGTGCCGTGTCACATATAGAAATTTTTTGATATTTGCAACCATAGTAAAACAAAGACTTATATTTTTGATATTTATTTTATATATTTAAATGCCATTTAACAAAGAAAAATCAACCAAAAAAATGAGTTCGCGTGTCACCGGTTCGCCATCACTGCATTAGACTTTTCTGAAAATGGGGTGATGAGGACACAGGGTGCTGAAGAGTCGCAAGAGGGAGGTCACCTGCTGCCTCACCTGCTGCCGCACTCACGGGGGTTCCGTCTCCATCAGCAGAGCCCCTCCCTCAGGGCCTTTCCCAACCCCGAGGCACTGAACCCTCATCAGCCCAGGTAAGGAGGTAACCCCAGGCAATTTCAGGACAGAGAAAGCAAGAACAGCCGAACTGCTCCAAACCTTGTCCCCCTCCAGCCCACTCCCTCCCAATCTAGTGTAATCTGTAAGATAAAAACACCAATAGACTCTACAGCAGTGATGGCGAACCTATGACACACATGTCAGAGGTGACACGCGAACTCATTTTTTTGGTTGATTTTTCTTTGTTAAATGGCATTTAAGTATATAAAATAAATATCAAAAATATAAGTCTTTGTTTTACTATGGTTGCAAAGATCAAAAAATTTCTATATGTGACACGGCACCAGAGTTAAGTTAGGGTTTTTCAAAATGCTGACACGCCGAGCTCAAAAGGTTCGCCATCACTGCTCTACAGGATACCTTAATAGGGTGAGCAGGGGATGGCTGAATCGTTTAAATTTCAGAATGCTGTTGGATTCAGGATACACGTGGCTGCAAACGATAGAATATCCAACTTTACCTGGCTTAAGCAACACAGGGGAACTCAATGGCTTATGGAACATGACAGTTGGTACCCAGGCCTCAACCTGTGTCCCTAGGAACCAGTTCCCCTTCTCCATTTTCTGAGTTTGTTTCCCAAACTTGGCTTTAGTCTCAGGTAGACTTTCCCTTCCTAGTTGCCACACTGTTTTCAGCAGCTCTGAGTGTTGTGGGAAAGAGGAAGACAGGCAGCATCCTGATGGCTCTAACCAAAACCCCAGCACTGGCTAGTTAGGGCTCATGAGATGTCATTCCAGGGCTTTGGAATGAAGTCACTTCATCAGAGGCACACAGGCAGACTGGCTCTCAAGCATAATCTGGGTACTGTGGCCGCAAGAAGATACGGATGCTGCGCAGAAAAAAACAGATGTTCATTACAAAAACAGTTGTTTGTTGCTGCATTTCCCCCTTGGCCTTCAGGAGGCCTGTTACCCATGTTACTAAGGAGCCCACAATGTCACTGCCATTGCTCCCATTGTCACTTCTTCCCTCCTGCTCTTTGTGGGTTTGGTCTACAGTCATCAGCCTGGCAAGAGCCCAGGAAGAGGAAAAGGTGGTTCAGGGAACAGAGCTCTGGCGTTCAGGTCAGGTAACGGAGAGTGGAAAAAAAGTAGAAAATTCTCACTTTCTCTTTCATAAGAAAAGCTTTTTCGTATTAACACCGAGAACTTAACATATTAATAAGATATAAAAATT